CTGCTGATCTGTTTCACGGTGCTGCTGATCTGTTTCACGGTGCTGCTGATCTGTTTCATGTTGCTGCTGCTCTGTTTCATGTTGCTGCTGATCTGTTTCATGTTGCTGCTGATCTGTTTCAATGTTGATGTGTTCATGCGTGCTCATCTGCTCACACAGACTCATGTTCATGTTCGTGCTGATGTTCGACGTAATGTTTTTATGCTATTAGTGCTTAGTGTATATTTAGTTGATGTTTTTCTTAGTTCATATCTTAGATCTTAGTACTGTTTTTCTTTTACATTTTATTGTTGGATGTAACTGGGACCCTGAGCACATAATTTCGCTCCACCTCTTGTACCACGTGTGATGTGAATGACAATAAAAATCATTGAACCCTTGAATAAAAAAAACACAGTTACAGTTAGCAGCACTGTCCTGTTGGCAGTATGATGATAGTAACGATTACTGCAACAGACCATGACTGCCCTCCAGAACTGGGTCCGGCAAACACAGAACAACCAAAGTTCTCCATGGAACCAAAATGTTCTATAGTTTGGTCCGTGCAGGCAGATGGAGGATCATGGAGACGACCACCATGACAGGCCGGAGCCTGAGTCCGATGGACATACTCCATCCGAAGAATATATATATGATGTATTGTTTAATGATTGTTTAATGATTGTTTAGGAAGTTAATTACTACAGAACTGCTCATTCTAAGTATTGTGGGTCATTTCATAGATTATGTCTTATTGTCAAAGCCCTGAGATCCACCCTTACTTCACTCCCATTTATCTTTTCAGTCCTGACAAATATCCTGTGTACTCACCAACAAGCTCATTGGGGTCCTTTTTCTCTCCTTCAGGGACCTGTATTAAAAAAGAAGAGGGGGAGAAGGAAAAAAGGAGAGAAAACAAAGACATGAAGGATATTTAAGTCTCATTTAGAACAAAAAAATCTACTCAGTGCTCCATGTTGAGAAAGATGAACAGCAGAGGTGGAGATCATTAAACTTTGCATCCAGTTTGAAGTAAAAGTAAATTAATGTAAAGTAAGTAATGAATGAAGTAGATTTTTATTTTCCCTACAGCAGATTATAGCTAGGCTAATTTTCAAGTCAGCTAAAACTGGTATGAAGTTGGACAACAGTTGGAGCTGAAGCAAACCACAGATGCTAAAGCGTCAGACTGCAGAGCGAAGCTCATAAAACAGTTTCTGAGAAGTAAAAAGAACCAGACGAGTAAATCCAGGCAGCCTCCAACAAACGCTTTGGCTCAGCAAGAGGAGTTATTGTGTACAGCCGTGTTTAGTGCCAGCAGCATGAAGGTAACACAGTGCTGTTATTCACAGGAAGCATGCCGTCACATAGCAACAGGAAGCACACATCAAGAACTGTCCTGAACTTGTTCAAACTGTGAAGGAGGAGGAGACTGACGGCACAAAGATGTCAAGCAAAACTTGAGTTTAAATGTATATACAGTGACTACAGCTGGCACGGTGCACTCGTGTTCCCCGTCGCTGAGGGATTTGAGTAATGAATGTTTGTAGTTTTCAAGACAGCTGTACTGGAATTGAACAGGGAACGGAAGTCAACTAATGCTTTTGTTGAAAGATATTCAAATACACTGTACACGGATCATGGCAAGTGGAGGGAGCCATTTTATCTACAACCAAGAGGAGCCGGGGGGTGGGGGGAGAGCAATGGTGGCCTAGGCCACCTTAAGATTAATATTCGGCCATCCCAATGAGAACGGTATACTTTTAAGTAATATAAAAACTACAAAACATAACATAGTTTCTTCAAACTGCTGGGTTGGTCAGTTTACATACAGTACAAAAATGGTGGCAGCCATCTTGGATTTTGATGTAACAAACTAATTTTCAAAAGGAACCATTCTTACATCTAGATGCAGCCACATACTAAAATGGAAGTTGGTACCTCACTTATTTTTCAAGTTGTCATGCTGACAACGTGCACGGACGGACAGAGGGTAGTTTCAATTGTCATGACGCCACCTGTCAATCACTCCAGCAGGCTCGTCAGCAACTGACCAATCGACATCACAATTTGTCTGGAAGGTAAACGCCTCTTACCTGCAGGAGCTCCACCCCCTTTTCCTCCGACAACATTGTCAGGGTTTTGAACTATGAACATTTTGTGGTCAAAGGGATTTTATGAAAAATCATTGGACAAAAAAAGGGTAAACGTGTCAGTAGAGAACATGTAATTCAGATGTGTTACCCTGAGAGTTTAGAGAGTGGAATACAGTTTACTACACTTCAAAAACATAAACAGCAGCACCTTGGCAGCATGACGGCTCAGTGGTTAGCACTGTTGCCTCACAATAAGAAGGCCCTGGGTTCAAGTCCCAGTTGGACCTGGGGTCTTCTGTATGGAGTTTGCATGTTCTTCTCGTTCTTGTGTGGATTTTCTCTGGGTACTCTGGTTTCCTCCCACCAGTGAGGGGTAAACAAGTGAACAGAAATAATGTTGTAGTTTCTTCATCTATTGAACAAAATACTCTGTAATTTCAGGTTTTACACCATTTAAACCCTTTTTCTCAGTTTTGTTTAGGTTTCTGAAGCGAGCTCTTACTGTCACTTATAGAACTTGACTTTTACAGAAATATTTAATTATCATCGGTGCGTTTTGAGTTTGTGCTCACATGTTAAACTAATTATGTACTAGCGTTGTCTGTCCCATTTACAACACAGGCATGTCGTCATTAAATACCTGTTGTAGGTTCTCACCACTAGGAAGCTCATTTTTAAGCCATTAAACATATGATGTAATTATGATAGAAAATGGAGGATTTACCCGTAGTTACCTTCGTACAGATGAACATGTGGTACTTCCTGTTTATAACTGGTGTATTCAGCTGATCTTGAGAATGGCTGCAGGGCTTTATCATCTTTTACATTTTTCCAGACTCCATTTATTTTATTTATCAACCTTCATGTAACCAGGCAAATCCCATTGAGATTGCAGGTCTCTTTTACAAGGGAGGCCTGAAGGCAGACTAACATGCATGTTTTTCTGGTTAGGTGGCTGCAGTTTGAATTTATTCAGAGAAAAAGCTCTGTATTTTGTTCTTAGAGGGGCTCTGTAGCTCTATTTGGTTTAAAACACATAAATGTCCATTTGTAGATATTAGGTTGATCAGGTTGCATTTAACCATGATAACAAGGCAATTATCAAAGTGATGAGACTATTGATGAGGCTGATAGTTTCTAAATCAAAGAGGCTGCATTTAGGACAGGAGAAAGTTTGGAACGTTATACCCCTCCACCCTCCTACACATAAGTCTGGAAAATGTCCCACACAGCAGGTAAGTCTGCAGAAGATTTATGGCAAACGAGTTAAGGTTTTGATAACAGCTGATGCATCATATCCCATCAGATAAGGGACACAGTCATCAGAAATAACAAGTTACCACCACAATTATTTAAAATATGGTTTTATTAGAAGCCCATCAAACTGCTGATAATACTGAGGTCCAACCAGTGAAATCAATTACAGTCCAACTAAAAGATCTGCATCAGCAAAGCAGCAGTGAGCCAACAAAAACATTATTTAGTCAACTGATGAGCGTGAATCTAAACCAATTCAAAGTGTTTTTGCAGCCGCAGGCTAGACAACATCCTACAGAAAGAAAACGTGTCATAACATAAACGTATTAAGTACAATCCTACAGTCTAGTGACTGTCCTGAAAAAGAGGAGTATTTTCCTTCAGATTTAATCTCAACATGTGAAAACATGAATTATTGAGAAACTAAATCAGAACCTATTATCATAATGTTTACATCGCTACTGGTGCTATCTCATCTTGGCTCACTTAAACTGAACTCACAAAGCTTATCAGATTTTTGTTTATCAAAGTCGGGCTGTATACACCTGAGCGGAGCTCTACTGACTCCATCTTAAGAATGAGAGTTATATAAACCACCGTGAACAAGAAGCAAAGAGCACAGCAGGAAGCGAGTGTGCTATTCAACATAAAAACACAGCGAGGAGTCAGGACGTGCAGCTCCACAACCAGCATCAGATGAACACAGATGAAGGCACACAAGCAAAGAAATACAACGATCTATTCTGGGCTGTGCAAGAGTATTTATAAACCCACAGCACCATCTAGTGAACAGTACTGTTCCTTCAACCCAGTCTATCCCATGACAAGTTCTGCTCAAATACCTCAACATCATCTGCGTCTCTCCCCTCGTCTGATTCGTCCATTTCCTATAAAAACAAAAAGGCAGAGGGTTAAAACTGTGAAGATAAGATGGGGAGAGCAGAACAAGAGCAGCAGAAAGACCAAATAATGACCAGCTTGAGACGGAGGACCGGAGACACTTTGAAGCCTCGGAGAAGAGTTCTAAAGAGACACGTCTTCAGATCTGGGCCTCAACAGGATGGTTACGTCTTTAACAAATACTCCAACACAGGGGTTCCCAAACTTTTCCATGCGATCCCCCCCCCCCCCCCCCAACAGCATTAGCTTCTGACCAAGGCCCCCCTCGCAAACCCACAAACAATGCTAGAAAATATGTAAAGAAACATAAACTTTTAGACTATTTTAACTTTTATTCACTATATTCAATTAATTATTACAGCTGCTGAGCATAAAAATGTTAACTATCAGAATCAGAATAAACTTTATTGGCATTGCACCGAGATACAACGTGAATATGTACGTACAGTCGTCCGAAGATGGGCGGAGTGCACGAAGCTGCGGCTATAAATAATTAGCGCGGCCTTCTTATTCTTATTCAGAATAATATTTTGCATAGATAAGAAAAGGAAAGAAAACATGAGGAGAGACGGTATTAAAAAAAAGATCTCTCACACCGTGTCCTAGACAGAGCACAATTTGAGGCATCAAAAAAACCTACCACAGCAAAGCAACATAAACAGACATTATACATTTACATATAGGCGGTGAAAGCATTGAATTTTTAAGGGAAAGTCGTAGTATAGTCCAGAGGGGAGAGAGGGAAAACACGCCTGGTTCCACCGTAGATAGCAGGAAAAAAATAAATAAAATCATGTTTTAAACATTGTATTATATTACCACTGATAAAAAACAAAAACAACTTTTCAACAAACTGTTGACCAGAAGAACAAAACAAAAGAAATCTAACCTCTCTCTCAAGCGTGTTTATCTGGAAATGGCAGATACAGATTGCCATAGTGGGCAATTTTTATTATTATTATTAGGGATGCACGATATTGGATTTTTGGCCAATATCCAATATGCTGATATGTTAAAACTTATTTTGCTGACGACCAATATCAATACCGATATTTTAATTTCTATATCTACTTACAGAGACTACATAGCTTTCTCTGCTGTGTAATTAAAATACATTATTCTGCATGGTCTTTGTCAAATTGGCCTATTACCAAATGCAGATTCCCAAAAAAATGGGGTTGAAGATGATGCAACACTTCAACGGTGTGCGTGATGTCATAACATACTGCTGGCACTGCAAGCATCCTTGTCACTGGGTTTGATTATATGGTATGGTATGGTATAAAGTTTATTCATTTAAAAAAAGTACAAAACAATTCCATAAAAATATAAAAAAGATACAAGAGATTTAAAATGAAAGGCAGCAGAAAGAAGAAAAAATCTTATATTATATCTGCCCCTTTTTTCAAACAATTATTTCAATCATAATAATTTTCAAGTAACAGAACAAAATGAATAACTTTCTAATTTTTCTAATTCTAATACAAAACACACACTAAGCTACTTCATATATACTTTTTTAACAATTCAGTTTTGATCTTTTTCTTAAATGTACACATTGACTTGGCATTTTTAACATCACTCTCTAGACCATTCCACCATCCAACTCCTTGGATTGAGGTAGACCTTCCCTTCAGACTAGTTCTGAATTTTGGTTTGACAAATATCTCTATCCCCTTAAGATTATAACAACTTTGTCTTTTAACAAAATTTATTTGGATATTTAATGGTAATGTGTTATTTTGAGCCCTATACATAACTGATAAAATACTATAATCTACCAAATCATGGAACTTTAATAACTTCAGTTGATAAAATAATGTGCTTGATGGGTGACTGTAATGCTTTCTGGTGATAATTCTTACAGCTCTTTTCTGTAAAATAAAAATAGGTTTTGTAAATGTTTTACACGCTTTCCCCCAAACATCAATGCAATAGATTAAATGTGGAACAATGATTGTGTTGTACAACATGTACAGAGCTTTATCATTTAATAATTCCCTGACTTTGTATAGTACTGCAATAGATTTAGATATTTTTGTTCTTACAGAATTTATGTGATTTTTCCACGTTAGCTGTTCATCAATGATTACACCCAAAAATTTCATCTCATTAACTCTACAAATCTCAACACCCTCAATTTTAAATGGATCATCAACAGTTCTCTTTTTGTTACTAAATATCATGTATTTAGTTTTATCTAAATTTAATGATAATTTATTAAGTTTAAACCAAGTTTGTATTTTATCAAATTCTGTCTTCATCAATTCCAACATCCGTTTTACATCTTTACCCAAACAAAAAAATGTGGTGTCATCTGCAAAAAGGACACATTTGAGGAGTCCTGATACATTCACTAAGTCATTCACATATAAAATAAATAACTTTGGTCCAAGTACAGAGCCTTGAGGAACTCCACAAGTGATATTGCACAGGTCAGATCTTACACCATTTATTTGTACAAACTGTTTCCTATCTTTCAAATAGCTAGATACCCAGTGTAATGCTGGTCCTCTTATACCATATTTATTTAATTTTTCAAGGAGAATAGTGTGGTCAATAGTATCGAATGCTTTTTTTTAAATCAACAAAAATACTAACACAATACTGTTTTTGATCGACAGCAGTAGTTATTTGTTCCATTATTTCCATGAGAGCCATTGATGTAGAGTTTTTTGCTCTAAACCCATAATGACTGCTACTTAGAATGTTTTGTTTAGTAATAAATTTATCTAATCTGGTCACAAACAGTTTTTCTAGAATTCTTGAGAACTGTGGTAATAAGGATATTGGTCTATAATTATTGAACACACATTTATCACCATTTTTAAAGAGAGGAACTACCTTAGCTACTTTCATATTGTCTAATATTATACAAACCGGATTCCAAAAAAGTTGGGACACTAAACAAATTGTGAATAAAAACTGAATGCAATGATGCAGAGATGGTAAATGTCAATATTTTATTCGTAATATAACATAGTTGACAGCTCAAAAGTTTAATCTGAGTAAATGTAACATCTTAAAGGAAAAATATGTTGATTCAAAATTTCACAGTGTCAACAAATCCCAAAAAAGTTGGGACAAGTAGCAATAAGTGGCTGGAAAAAGGAAATTGAGCATATAACGAACAGCTGGAAGACCAATTAACACTAATTAGGTCAATTGACAACATGATTGGTATAAAAAGAGCTTCTCAGAGTGTCAGTGTCTCTCAGAAGCCAAGATGGTAAGAGGATCACCAATTCCACCATTGTTGCGCAGAAAGATAGTGCAGCAATACCAGAATGGTGTTACCCAGCGTAAAATAGCAAAGACTTTTAAGTTATCATCATCAACCGTGCATAACATCATCAAAAGATTCAGAGAATCTGGAACAATCGCTGTGCGTAAGGGTCAAGGCCGTAAAACTCTACTGGATACTCATGATCTCCGGGCCCTTAAACGTCACTGCACCTCAAACAGGAATGCCACTGTCAAGGAAATAACAGAATGGGCTCAGGAATACTTCCAGAAAGCATTGTCAGTGAACACAATCCACCGTGCCCTCCGCCGTTGCCAGCTGAAACTCTACAGTGCAAAGAGGAAGCTATTTCTAAGCAAGCTCCACAAGCTCAGACATTTGCACTGGGTCAGGGGTCATTTAAAATGGAGTGTGGCAAAATGGAACTGTTCTGTGGTCAGATGAGTCACGATTTGAAGTTCTTTATGGAACACTGGGACGCCATGTCATCCGGACCAGAGAGGACAAGGATAGCCCAAGTTGTTATCAACACTCCATTCAGAAGCCTGCATCACTGATGGTATGGGGTTGCATGAGCGCTTGTGGCATGGGCAGCTTGCATGTCTGGAAAGGCACCATTAATGCAGAGAACTATGTTCAGGTTCTAGAACAACATATGCTCCCATCTAGACGTCATCTCTTTCAGGGAAGACCCTGCATTTTTCAACACGATAATGCCAGACCACATTCTGCAGCAATCACAACATCATGGCTACGTAGGAGAAGGATCCGGGTACTGAAATGGCCAGCCTGCAGTCCAGATCTTTCACCTATAGAGAACATTTGGTGCATCATAAAGAGGAAGGTGCGACAAAGAAGGCCCAAGACGATTGAACAGTTAGAGGCCTGTATTAGACATGAATGGGAGAGCATTCCTATTTCTAAACTTGAGAAACTGGTCTCCTCTGTCCCCAGACGTCTGTTGAGTGTTGTAAGAAGAAGGGGGGATGCCACACAGTGGTAAAAATGGACTTGTCCCAACTTTTTTTGGGATTTGTTGACGCCATGAAATTTGGAAACAATAGATTTTTCCCTTAAAATGATACATTCTCTCAGTTTAAACTTTTGATCTGTGATTTGTGTTCTATTCTGAATAAAATATTAGATGTTGGCACCTCCACATCATTGCATTCAGTTTTTATTCAGGCAGAAGACTTCATTTGACCCGTGAATCAAATCTCTGAACATCGTTCCAGAAGTTGTTTGTGTTCAACTAAGAGGAAAACTTCTAAAACGTAAGCAGGAATAAAACTTAGCTTAGATGAATGTAGGACAGTCTCTTTCAGGCTGTAGATGTTTAAACAGTAACAAACTGCACAGTTTGAACTCTAATCTCTTATGTTGATATACTATTTATATACAACTCAAAATGGAATAAAAAGAACGATGCTGAGCAAAGTGGTGTAGAATAAAGCTACATCTTGAAGTATGCAAATGTTAAGTAAGCTTTCTGGATAAAATATTTTATCTTTACTTGAAATTGTTTACACTGTAAGTTAGATATAAATCATTTGAAAACCTGAAAAAGAGCAGATCATAATGATTTGAAAGACCATCTTGTTCTTATGACTATGTTATCATTTTATCTGTATTCATTGTTGCAGTCTGTGGCTTAAGGAACAAAACACCAACAACTGATCAGACCAACATCTATAACAATAAATCTGTCACTGCAGCTGAATACACACGTCAACAACTCTAAAATGGACACAGAGCTGTGCTTTAGCCTGACATCCTGCTTTTAACAAAAAATAAAATAAACAAACACAAAACACAATCAAACAAAAATAGCATTAACTTGATTAAGAACCACAATTTAAATTTCTGACTGTGAATTACAAGGATGTTTTTTTAGCAGTTTTAATAAAATGGCATTTTAGATGACCGAACACTTTCAGTCGTAACATCAGTTTGCTTCAGTCCTCATTATTGTCCCTTCACATAAAATCACTACATGAGAACAGGTTTGTTTTTTTGTTGGCGATCTGGTGAAGAAAGTTCAAATACGTTGCTTACAGCTGCAGTGCTCGAGGGCCCACAGTGAGGCAGATGTGGGTGCTTCACCTTTCCCACCCCATGTTGATGTTCAGAGGATCACAGACTCGCCTTTTCTAACCTCTGAACCACCACTTCCCATTCTTTTTGTTTGTTTCCCTGCTCCAACACACCTGATTCAATGGTTTGTTTACTTCTTCATGTTCAATAGGAGCTTCTGATTCACCCACTGATTTAAATTAAGTGTTGAAGCAGAGAAACATGTAAAACATGCAGGACTGTGACCCTCCAGGACCAGGACTGGACACCCGTGAGATACAGTTTACTTCAGTCCAAGCAGTCCTTTTCAATATTGATATTGGGCTCAGAGATTTTGTGATGGAAGATAAACCTTTGATATATTGCGCAACCAGATTTAAAGTGAATATTGTATAAGTTACAGTCAGTACTGTAACATACGTACAGTTGTATTCTGAAGTCTATACAAGTGAAATAAGAAACTATTCTACAATCTTAAAAATATGATCAAATGAAAATGCTGTGTTGGTGATGAAACACACAAAAAATACAACACTGATTAATACGATGCACAATGATGTACAACAATATGATGCATGTATGTGGTTTATTAAAATACATATCCACTAGCTGAAACCAGCAGGTCACACTGAGCTAAAATTAACACGTTCAAAGTCGAGTTTCCATTATTGCCAATTAGGGCTGAACAATTAATTGCATTTGCGATAATATTGCAATATGATAAAACGTGATTTTCTAATTTGCAAAGGCTGCAATTTGACTGGTCACGTGATCTGGTTATGTGACTTGCGAGTGAGCGGAGCAAAGCAGGGCAGAGAGTGGGAGAAGTTAAAAGTCACTGTGTTTTAACCAGTTGCACAATGGCGTCAGGCTCGACAGAAGCTGATACGTCTGAAAGTTTGGTACCAAAGAGGAGCAGCACATCCGTTTGTTGGAATTATTTTGTCTATTAAAAAAAGAAGATGCTGCACAACGACTTGTATTGTGCAAAACCTGCCTTGATGCTGTTGCTACCCCTCGAGGTATCACCACAAATCTTTACCAACACTTAAAAAACACCACAAATCCATTTACAATAGTTGCATGACTAGAATGCCAACGCCCAGTGCTTCAACCTGAAGTAAGCAAAGTAGCAGCCGACAGGAATCACTGACCGAAACGTTCCAAGGTATTACTCTGTATGAACATAATTTGAAACGGCACACAGAAATAACTCAAGCAATAATGGAGTTCATAGTGAAAGACATGATGCCCATTAATATAGTGACCACGCCTGAGTTTACGACTGATAACCACAATGGATAAGTGGTGCAGAATGCTCTTGTGCACACAATTTAGCCAAGTTGGTATCCTGAAGCTACACAAAAAAATTCAGAAACAGAGTTGCAGACGAGCTGAAAACAGGAGTTTTTTGCAACTGAAACTGATTTATTGCTCGTGTGTCTGTTGAAAAATACACGAGAAGAAGACATTGAAAAATAATTGCATATTAAATCACAATATTGAGGTAAAAAAATTGCAATTAGAATATTTTTCTAAATTGTTCAGCTCTATTGCCAATCAGTGAGATTTAAGTACGCTTTTGGTTTTGTAAAGATGTAAGACGGATTCACAGTTGAATGTTTTCATGTTTTGTCATTAAACTGGAAGTCTGATGACAAACAAAAAAAAAAAACATTGGAGTTATCTGATCAATTCCTTCTTAATTTAAGAACATCAATTAAGGTCATTAGGATGGTAAACTACTGCCATGTTGCTCAAACAGATGCAACCACAAATTATCCTGAGCTAGAAGCACTTGGAGAGCACACACCTCCACCAAGAACCCTAGGGTCCTTGACAAAGTGACATCTTTTGCACAGATAAACAAGAATCCTTGACAAAATTGTTAGATCCGGTAATGATCCAAACCACCCCCCAAATGTAATCATTTGTTCTTTGTGCCATCCTCACCACTTCCTGAAAATCTATTCAGAACATTCTGAGTAATCTTTTGCACAGACGGACAATTCAACACTTCTGAAAACAAAACCTGCTTGTCAGAGGAAATGAAGGGAAACAATGCCAGAAGCTGTTGGAGGAACAGAGGGGACTGCGTCCACGCTACTTTTCAAACCCGTAAAGTGATCTTCATTTCAAGTTTCACTTTTTTCCCCTGAGATCTGTCTTCCTCTTTTCTAAGCTGTCCTGGTACATTTAGGTATACGTGTTGTGCTTATCTTATTTTTATATTGTTGTTTTTGTTTGTTCATACCAATAAAAATTTAAGATTATCCATACTTTGAAAAAACAATTGAATACTGCTTTGGATACCACTGGATGTAACAAAGCATTAGTATATCTGGGAGTTTTGTAATCTGATGATGTCAATGAAAATACTACATTCAATGATCAATCTCTATCAATACATCCTAAACAAAACCATAAAAACAGCATTATTTATGCAGCACAGAAGGTGAGACATTTTGATTATGTGTACATTATTGTTTACGTCATCATGAATAAAAAGGATTAAAGTAACAGTTGTTTGGTTGTACGGACCTGGGATGTACAAATGTGAAAATATGTGAAACTACACAAACTGAGTTATTTCATCATTAATACTAAAATCAAGAGACTCAAAACATCTAAAGAGCTAAAATCACAGTTCAAATACTGACCATGTTGCTCTCTGGGCTGCCTTCATGTCCAGACCTTTTGTCATCAGCATCATTGGTGGTTCTGTTCAGCTCATCTTCATCATAACCCACCAAACCTCCTCTACTCCCTGCTCGGTAAAAGACACAGAGAATCACAACACGGGAATAAAAGGACGTTATAAATTTGAGGGGTAAACCCCCACAAACAAGACAAAAAACATCGATGACAGTTCTAACAAATCCAGGGCAAACTTTGACTTGTCACTAAGTTTAAGTAACACTTGGGAATAAGTACACTTCCGTTTAACCGCAAGCAGTCATGCTAAAAATAATAACAAAACAGATTTGTTTTAAATAACTAAAATTTAAATGTTCACGTCTTTCAAGTGTCAAATTAGGTTAGCTGAGGCTAACGTTAGCTTCCGCATGAAGTTTCCCCATTCACTACGCTCAGCTTTTGATGGAGGTTTTGTTTTAAAAGCAACGAAATTATTTAATAAACAGCACAACACACCAGAATCTTCGAATTCGAGGTCAGAGTCGGGTTCTGAATCGTCTCCATAGTCTGCTAAAGACGAGAGCAGTGCACTCTTTTTACCACTCGCCATGTCTGTTCGTCGCACAAAAGGCGCGTCATAAACTCGTCTGCGCAGTGAGCCAAGTGCGCAGCTTTAACGGAAGCGCTGGAAAAAGTAGCGTCTTTTGTAGTCCATTTGAAGTTTTAAGATGGTTTCAACTTCCATCCATCCATTATCTTTATCCGCTTCTTCCTTTTTGGGTCGCGGGGGTCACTGGTGTCCATGTCCAGCCACCACTGTGCGAGAGGCAGGGGACACCTGGACAGGTCTCCAGTCCATAGGGTCCTAGTCCTAGAGTCATAGAGACAAATGAGACAAACAACCATTTACTCTGTCACTCTCACCTAGGGACAATTTAGAGTTACCAATCAGCCTAACATGCGTTTTTGGTCAGTGGGAGGAAACCGGAGTCCCTGTGGATTAAAATCTTACCACTGTTCTTATCCCACTTGATGACACTTCAGAGGATGAGAGTCTAGGGGATGAGAATGAACACGACAACTCTGATCTCTCAGTTGGTGATTTTGTCACTGTAAAGTTTGCAACCAAATGCAAGATACACCATTACATTGGTTTGATTGAGAACTTCGAAAATAATGAAGTGACTAAGATTTCGCAGAATGGAAGTAGAGGCAGAGAAGACGACTTTTCGCATGCAAGGAGAATTATGTGGGATCATTCCATTGGATGACAGAGAGTTTCCTAAACTTCAGAATGTTAGAGGTACTGTGAGAAGACAGCAGCTTCCTTACAATCTTGATCAGTAGAATGTTGAGTAAATTTCTATAATGAACGTGCTGAAGTTCAATATTGTTTCTCTGTTTAAATAGTTATGATTATTTTTTCCCCATTTTTGTCCTCTATGAGGACTGGATCATTAAAGCCATCTTTGTAACCTTACCTGAAAGCTATTGTTCAGTAGTGGAAAATACATAAAATTCAAACTTTACTAAGCTGAATTTGTGTGACCTCTATTTAAATGCATTTTCATTAATAAAATGTGTTTTATGCCCATTTCAAAACTGGACCACGAAGGTCACTTTACCCCTCAGTGGTTCAATTTACCCTCAGTTGGATTAACTTACCCCGTGCCTGGGACAAATAGAGCCACTGGAGGACTTTTTTGGTCACATCATATTTCTTGAGCTGTTTGTTATAGATTTGTGTTTATAACCAATTTTTTAGACAACACCCCCAATAAGGGTATATGTTTTCCTTGTACTCCTGTGCCATTTAATCTCACATGTAGAACTAAAAAAAAAGCAAAAAGTGGTTTATCTTATCCCACTCTCCTCTATGCGTTAAATGACATCTAAGGTTCAAGTCACATAAATAAAACAAATATTGTGTTGGCCCAAAAAATAGAAAATATAGAGAAATTCTTGAGGAAAATTTCCTTTAGTTATCCAAAGGCTTGAGACTGGGATGGAAGTTCACCTTCCAGCAGGACAATGACCCTTAATTCACCACTGAAGCAACACTCCAATGGTTTATAGAGAACCAGGTAAATGTCTGGAATGGTTAAGTCCAAACCCATACTACAGTCCAATAGACACTCTTGGGTTTGATTTAAACGTTGTTGGATACAAGCAGCACTCATCCAGCCTGAAGGAGCTCAACTACTTTATAATGAAAATTAATTTATTCCAGGTTGTAAAAATAAAATAAAAGAACAAAAACAAGGAGATGGATACTTTTGCAACCGGCTGTATCAACCTCTACAGTGCACCCCTAACTTCTTGTGTTGAGATTTGTTAGAAGAAATAAACATACTTGTCAGGATCCAACCATGTCAGGAAGGGTGTCCAACATAAAACACTTTTGCCAAAACTATAATGCGAGTTCATCTAAGCAACACCATACTGGATTGGTTAAGGCCTGGGTTAACAACGACTGCCACCGGTGCTGTTGACAAACCGGTGCTGGTGGAAATTGTGCTACTGTTAGTCCAAGACCACGAGAAGGGAAATGTGTCAGGAGACAGAGGGAGAAGAGGAAAGTCAAGAATGTGGGACTAAGGGTGGACACTCTAATAGTGGAGACAATGACATGAAAAGGTAGAGAGCTGGCTGACATGATGCAGAGAAGGAAGGTAGATGTTTTATGTGTCCAAGAGACCAAGTGGAAGGGCAGCAATGCTCGCAGTATTGGAGCAGGGTTCGAACTGTTTTACTATCATGTGGATAGAAAGATAAATAGAGTGGGGTTGGTCCTGAAGTATGAGTTGGCAAAGAATGTAAAAGAGGTGAAAAGAGTGTCAGATAGGGTGATGTGTCTGAAGGTAGAAGTAGTATGGCAAGCCCTTTTAACATAAAATCGAGTAGTCTGACTATCTGTAGTTACATTCTAGATATCTTAAATTGAGTTTTGACTAGGCACAATTACATTTTGACTAGTCAGAATGCTAATTTAAGATATCTTGAATTACATTCTGACTAGTCAGAATAACAATTCAAGATATCTTGAATTACATTTTGACTAGTCAAAATGTAATTCACTAGTCAAAATGTAATTCAAGATATCTTAAATGACGTCACCTGATTCGTCATTTGACGGGTCAAACATCCGTAATTACAATTCAAGATATCTCGAATGTAATTATGACTAGTCAGAATGACACTTTTAGATATCTTGAATTAAGAAATGACGCGTAGGACCCGCGGCTGCTACTTAGCTGATCAAACAGCTGCCTGCAGAATTTTGTGTGGCTGCAATGGCGCTAGCTGTTCTGGACAACATTGTTAGAAAATGCCACAACTTCCTGTGGCTATAGTGTTAGTGTTAGACAGTGAGGAAAATGGCTCAGTCTCTGCGCTGTTGCTTTTGTTCAGTTCCTGGTTGTTCTTGTGGGGCAAGAAAACAACCGTATCTGTCCTGCCATGCTTTACTACGCTCTCACAGCCTGCATGAGTCACCATAATTAGGCAGTGTCTTACCTGAGAGAAGACTGGCTGGCTTTTGGATTTTTGTATGTGAATGTGAGGCCCATGTTTGTTTGTTTTGCAATTCTTAAGTATTATTCATATTTATTTTTGTTCATTTCATATTTATATTCCAGGTTGAAGGTGAGAGTTGAGTCTCGTGTAGTTCTGTTCCAGTGAACTTGGGTTTGTAAACAAACCCGTGTCTTTTCTGTGTATAAATGATGTCCTTGGGTGAAAGTCCTTAGGTGGTGTTGCAGTAAGTTTATAAAATAAAAATAACATCCATACCCAAGCTTGTCACATGTATATAAATTGTTCTAGTGTTACGTAGTTACCAGTAGATAGCTTGTTTTGAATTATTTTAAACATTCTTCAATTAAAACTCACTTGAGCAACATACTGTACTGTTTTTTTTTATTTGTGGATTGATTCAGTTGAATTACAAGGAAAACAAGTGCAATTTACAATATCTAGTAAAAACAAAAACATTTAACTATTTAAGTTAACATTTTATAACTGTACACTATAAATTGATAGTGGATTATAGATATTTTATCAAATTATGTAATTTCAAATTAAATAAATTGGCACATTTATGTATTTTTCATGAATAACTATTTACAGTATTTACATCTAATAAGTTAAGTCTGGACATTCCAAAAAACAAAACAAACAAACAAAAAAAAGGTAGAAACGTTTCGTCTTTCATCCGAAAGGCTTCTTCAGTCTGAGGTGCTGCTCAAAGTCAAAGTCACTTTTATTGTCAAAAACTGCAATATGTACAGGACATACACAGGATTGAAATTACGTTTCTCTCAGACCGTGGTGCAACAATAACCATTTAACATTAAAACATTTATTAAACATAAGCATAAAATGAAGTAATAAATGGTTCACACATTTACACATGGTTGTCAGCAGCAAACTGGTTGATCCACTCTGAGAAGGTGCTATTTATAAGACTGAGCTGAATACAGCACCTCAGACTGAGGAAGTCTCTCGGATGAGAGACGAAACATTTCTACTTTTTTTGTGTGTGTTTGTTTTGTTGTTTTGCTTTTTGAATGTCCAGAGGACCAGACTTAACTTTTTTTTAGATTTTCCTACCTGGATCATTGAGCAGCATCAAGATATAGTATTTTCAGTGATTCACACAGATTGAGACTGATTAAAAATATGAAGGAACAAAAGGGTGATTTATAAATTTTATGTTTCTTGCTGCATTGATATAAACACATGGATGAAGGTGTTGAAGTAAAACATGTCCAGTTTAGACTTCATCTGATCAATCAATCAATCAATCATCAATCCAATCATCACACCATACCCGTTCGTTATTGTTTAGTGTACCCGCTGATCATCTGAGCTGCCAGTGCTGTCAGCAGACTCCTCCTCCGCACTTCCTCTGTAAGCAACACGGAAAGTGGAAACAGCTAGCAGTAAGCCTTGGTTGTCGAAGCTGTACCCACACGGGACATCTGGACTGCTCCCTGGTTCTGGCCTGTAATTCATGTGACACTTGCAGAGACTGAAGATGCATAAGTTGACCGAGTGTGGGCATAAAACACATGTTGGGAAGACTATGCAGCATCGAAGGAAGAGCAGGGAGGTCTGGAGCCATGTGGTGCAGAATGATGCTGCGCAGGACTTCTCAGGTGGGCACTGGTGAGACCTCAGTGAGCCCTGTGGCACAGGACCAAGTCTGGATGGTACCAGCTCCAAAGCTGAGAGACCATCTCTAGGATAAGTGTGATAAGTGGTTGGGACTCCAGCTGGTGGTGTTTCTCCCGATGCCAGGATGTCAGGATCTGGAAGTGGTCCTACAAACACACGAGTGACAGAATCACAATAAGTTCTGACAAAGGAAACATGGACATAAAAACATTAACCCAAAGGTTATACCTGTGAAAGCTCTGTAAAGCGTGGAGTGCAAACATCTTTTCACCACAGTTTTGGGCTTTCACACCACCACCACCTCGCTGGCAGGTTCAGGATGGATTCCCTTACAAGAAATAAACATAAAAATATGTCAAACTAATAAATAAATGTAAAGGGACAAGTGAGCAATTTGGTAGGACACAGTGGGACAGATTTGAGAGTTAAGATTTTTACTTAACTTGCAAAT